CTTTCTGTAAAGTGTGGAAGTACAGGGGTGGCCAAAAAAAGAGACACTTGACTCCACATTTCAGACAGCATTAATCACACTTTGCTAAATCAAATCGACTGCCCCCAACTCAGTATTGAAGAGCACCTTCTAATCTATCTAAACCTTACATGACAGCCTTCTACCGACGACATCAGAAGATTTTCCCACGGAAACATGGTTCACGGTACGAGCTCAACGAGGTCGTCGAGGTACCATAGACCATTACGACGTCCCTGAAACGCTGGTCAAAAGCGGTTTGCATAGTCACAGCTAATGTCTCTGGGAAGCTATTCAACAATTAATCCATTATTGAAGCAGCTTCAGGCCGGAGCGATTACGGTAAGCCTCGTTGAGCTCGACGGTGACGGCAGATGACGTCATATTCTGAAGACGGACGGGGCAGCGAAGGAGAGCCTGCTTCTGTTCCTCTTTCTTCTTTCTTGATCTTTGATTAACATCGGCACCCTGCGCGATGAAAAGTTCGATGAGTGCGCCATGGACAGAGTGTCTCTTTTTTTGGCCACCCCTGTAAAGTGGAGGCTTGCAGTATACAGGGGTGGCCAAAAAAAAAGAGACACTTAGCCCATGGCGCACATCATCGAACTTTTCGTCGCACAGGGAGCCGATGTTAATGAAAGTTTTACGGCGAATATTCCTTAGGTGTTCCCCGTAAACAGAAGCAGGCCCTCCTTCACTGCCCCGCCGTCTTCAGAATATGACGTCATCTGCCGTCGAGCTCAACGAGGCTTACCGTAATCGCTCCGGCCTGAAGCTGCTACATAATTTCTTCAATGAATTAATTGTTGAATAGCTTCCAGAGACATTAGCTGTGAATGTGCAAGAGACGTCGTAATCGTCTATGGTATCTCGACGACCTCGTTGAGCTCGTACCGCGCACAATGTTTCCGTGGGAAAATCTTCTGATGTCGTCGGTGTAGAAGGCTGTTGTGTAGCTTGTTGATAGATTATAACGTGCTCTTCAATATTCAGTTGGGGTCATTTGGTTTGGTTTCGCGACGCGTAAATAATTCCGTTTTGAATGTTTAGTGATGTGTCTCTTTTTTTTGGCCACCCCTGTATAGTAGGATAGGATTGTTGAGCTTTCACTTGCAGGTGTTCCACGATTTCCAAGAAGGCAGGC